ATGGTCCTCTATCGAGATAAAGGGGGCACTGGGCGTCGCGGTGGCGCGGGAGCTAGTGGCGAGGGCGAGAAAATGAAGGGTACTTGCTAATGGTATGGACGCTCTTGTCTCGTCGTCCAAGAGGTCATCATCATCCAAGAGGGAACTTAACGTGTCTTCTGGGGGGCTGGATGTGGAAGCAGGCTCATCCTCCATCTCCGAAGCGAGGATAGAGAAGAAGTAGTGAACGGCCACAGGGGCCGTCTGGAGGGACTGATGAGGGAACAACCCATAGCTTTAGACTTTGGCCTGTCCAAAGCCACCCCCTTGGGTCCGTTAGGTTGGGAGGACTTTCCGACCTGATAGAGAATCTCCATAACAGCCTTACCCTTGTCATTTTGTCCCTTTGCAGACTCAGGCGCTCGGGCAGGGGCCTTACCCTTCCCTTTTGGGTCTCCCGGAACAGATGGTGGACCTGAACTGGTCACGCGACGGTATGGGGGGAGGGATGGTCGGGGCTTGTTGCCCTAGTGTAACAGTCAGCCGCATCGTGCCCCACATGATTGCGGAGTGCATAGAAAGGTGGTACTCTCTCTCATAAATCACCATGTGTACTATGGTCCTCCCTCCTTGGTTGAGCTCAATCTCCTCGATGAGCTCACCACAGATGTCTATCTCGACGCACACCCATGCGACGGATAGCCTGAAGCGGTTGGCCGTAGGGGCATCAACCTGGATTGGGTTGCCAATACAGCTGACAATAGACATAAGGATACTGGGACAATGATGACTCAGTCGATGTGGAGAAATCAGGTGTCTACTTGATAAAGTCCGTTTGGTCATTTGACATTTGATATTATTTTTCATTTAATCTTATTTCTTTTTTTTTTCAAACGATAGATATCTCATAAATAAGAAAAAGATACAATGTTTTGAGAACGAGTACAGACAGTTGAAGAAACAAGACAACATTAACAGATCACAGAGCCGGGAAATGAGAGGATCACTCAAAGGTGTCCTAGAACCCAACTAATCAAACTTGAAGCTAGGCAGTCTCTCGACTAGATCCTAACCTCAAACCAGCACACAAGAGAAAAAAACAAACTGAAAGAAATACAACAACAATAAAAAGATACAACAGCATCAAACCAGACAAACTCCAAGTCTAAGACCTGAACCCTCTACTAGCCCTGAAGGATAACCAATCCTGATGAGCTGCTTGGACTGTGAGGTGTGCAGGCCTTTTTACTTTCTCAAACATCCATAAGTTACGAGTTTTCCAGAGCCACCAGAGGATGTATGTCGATAACTGAATCCTTGCCTCTAACACCTCTGACTTGTCTAATTGGCAAATAGACCACCACCAGTCCTTGAAAGATTCACCCTCTTGGGGCCCATTCCATTGCACAGGTGAGAGCTTCCAAACCAGCTTAGCAGAATCACAATGGAATAAAATGTGCTCCACAGCTTCTAGACCATCTCCACAGATTGAACAAACACTGTCTACCTCTATCCCCATGCTTTTCAGGTTATGACTAACAGGCAAGGTGCTATTACAGCATTTCCAGATAAAGTGCTTAATCTTGCCCATGACTTGGAGTTTCCAACTTCTGCTTCTGACTTTGATATCTCTGGCCAAGTCTTTACTCCCCTGTGGCCGCCCTATTTTAAGGTACTTCTCAGCAATGAGTTGAGCATAGGTGGACTGGACTGAAAATAAACCCTTGCTATGCAACTTCCATTTCCAAGTGTCTTCTTGGTGTGGGTTAAGAGAGTTGATGGTGAGAATCTGATCACAGATGTGTGGGGGAAAGGTTCTTCTCAATTTTTGTTCATCCCAGCTCCAACCATCTTCAGTCATGAGATCTATAACCCATATACAGCCTCTGTCTATGCCAGGCAGCAGATCCACTGTTTGGCCTATGTGGTTTGGCAACCAATGCTGATCCCATATTTTTGTGGAGTTGCCATTCCTAATTTCCACCTGCATCCATTTAGCACATACTTGCAAGACTGCATGCCAACTTCTCCAGAGCCAGGAAGAGTTTGATTGAATAGATGCATCAAACAGTGAAGAGTTAGGGTAATATTTAGATTTGAGAACTCTGCTCACCAAGGAATTAGGCACAGTAAGAAGTCTCCAAAGCTGTTTGGAGATTAGAGCAGTGTTGAAAAGTTGGATGTCCTGGAACCCCAGTCCTCCAAAATTTTTAGCCAATGTTAACTTATTCCAAGCCACCCAAGGGAACCCTTTAGAAGGGTCAGAGTCTTTACTCCACCAAAAATTGCTACAAATACTGGAAATTTCTTTACACAAGGTGGTAGGCAGAACAAAGCAGGACATAGCATAAACAGGAAGTGCATTAAGAACAGCTTTGATGAGGATTTCCTTACCTGCTGTGGACAACCATTTAATCTTCCAGCTGCAGATTCTTTTCTTAACCACAGAGAGGATATAATCAAAAGCTTCTCTCTTTGATCTCCCAATGCCCATTGGAAGACCCAAATATCTAGTAGATGAGTGAATTTGAATGCCAGATAGAATACAGCAACACTTGTCTTTAATGCTGGCTGGTGTATTTTTGCTGAAGAAAACTGATGATTTAGCCATGTTCACCTGATGCCCTGTGAAATTATGGTATGCTTGGAGGTTGTTCAAAATTTTGGTGGCCTGAAGTTCATCTGCTTTACAAAAAAGAAGAGTGTCATCTGCAAACAATAAGTGAGTCAGTGTGGGGCCATTTCTGACCAATCTAACTCCTCTGTAACTTCCATTTTTTGCAGCCCATTGAATTTTGGCAGACAACAATTCTGAGATAATAATGAAGAGGTAGGGGGATAGAGGATCCCCCTGCCTAATACCTCTACTGGCAGTAATGAAACCACAAGGCCTTCCATTTAAATTAATAGAGAAAGAAGGAAATTGAATACAGACCATAATCCACCTCACAAACTTGGCACAGAATCCCATTCTTAGCATAGTCAATTGAACAGGCTTCCATTCAAGGCTATCAAAAGCCTTCATCATGTTAAGCTTCAGAGCCATGAAATAATTATTCCCTGATCTGTGCCTATTCAAAAAGTGAAAGACTTTATGCCCTATCACAACATTGTCCAGAATCTGCCTTCCAGGAAGAAAGGCAGCTTGGTTCTCAGAAATACATTCATTGAGACAAAGTCTTAGCCTAGAAGCCAAGATCTTGGAAATGACTTTATAGAAAACTGCACATAAGCTTATTGGTCTGTACTGACTAATAGATATTGGATTAAAACATTTTGGAATGAGAGTGATTAATGTATGCTTCCAGTACTTCAATAACATACAAGACTCAAAAAAAAAACAAAAAAAAACTTTTAACAGCAAAAATGATGTCTTTACCAATGATGGGCTAGAAGTGCTGATAGAAGAGTCCAGTCATGCCATCTTCACCTGGTGCTTTGTCAGGGTGGATACTAAAAACTGCTTCTTTGATATCATCATCTTCCACAGGTGCTGTTAGGATGGCATTCACATCATCAGTGACTGACTGCTTGATTAAGGGAAGGAATTCATGCCCCCCTTTGGAACCCTGGGATGTGAAGAGCTTGGTATAATAATCTGTGATGGCTGCTTCAATCTCCTCTACATTGTTACTGATTTTATGCCTTTCAGTCACCAGTCTGACTATAGAGTTCATCTTCCTTCTCTGAGAGACAAAAGCGTGGAAGAATTTGGTGTTTTGGTCTCCTTCTCTGAACCAAAGAGCTCTAGCTTTTTTGCCTCCAGTATATCTCCTCAGAAACATTAGCTTCATTTAACTCTTTTTGAATTTTATCCCAGGTGTCCCAATCTCTGTCTCCTCCAGCTTTTCTGAGCTCCTCCAACTGCAGAGTTAGATTGCTGATTTTTGAGGCATGCTCTGCTCTAAAATACTTGCTCCAGCTCAGGAGTGCTTGCCTGGTTCTTTTTATCTTTTCTTTGATGATGTACATAGGAGTACCCCATGCAGGCGTGTCCCATGCTTGCTCAACCACTTCATTAACTTCTTCTTTTCTGATCCATCGTTTATCGAACTGGAATCTTTTTTTGAATTTGCCAGGTGCTTCAGAGAAGGAAATGACCAGCATAGTGTGATCAGAAGCACTTTTGAACCAGCTGGTTACCTTTGTTTCAGGGAATGTAGCAAGCCAATCCAGGGAGACAAACAGTCGGTCCAAAGTTTCCTCTACATAATTCAGTCCTGCTCTGTTATTGGTCCAGGTATAAGGCAATCCCTGGAGAGGAATTTCTTGAACACCCATCTAAGCTAGAAATTGGTTGAAATCCCAGAAACTCCTGTCTGATTTGCTTTGGCCCCCTTTCTTGTCTGCAGCTCTGCAAATTGCATTCCAATCTCCGGCTATACACCAGATTGGCCCCCATTTGACTTTTTCATTCACTAGATAGTCCCATTGCAGGGTTCTCTCAGCTTTAGAAGAACTGAGATAGACAAAAACAACCCAACAGGAACAATCTTTAGATTTATCAATAAAGTTAACGGCAATAAAGAAACTCTAACTATAAATATTTACAACAACCACATCATCATCCCAAAGAAGCATGAGCCCACCCCCAGTACCACAAGGCTCTACAATGTGATGTCTGTTTGCAAAACCCAATCTAAGACATAAAGAAGAAGCAAATTTTTTATTTTTCTTGATTTCAGAGAGGAACAAAAAAGATGGGTGATGGATCTTTAAGGATTCCTTGATCTGGGGAACTGTAGAGGGCCCACCCAGACCTCTACAGTTCCACACCAGAACATTCATGGGGACTCTGAGGGCTTCTTTAGGCAAGCCCTCTCCACCTTAGTTAAACTTAGCTTAGCTTTCTTGTCTGGGATTTCTGAGATCTCTTTAATCTGTTGAGTGTCAAAACAAAGGAGGTTGATCTCCCTTGGCCTTTTGTGCATCAGAGTATTTAAGTCCATGAGACTATTATTAGAATTCCTGAGGAGCCTTCCTTCCTTCTGTGTTGTTCTTTTCCATGTGGCTCTGCCCACCACTGCCCCCTTCTTACTTTTCCCTTTGGCTTTAGCGGCGTCTCTGTGAGGGGGAGTCTCCTCATCAGAGATATTGATTGCCATCATCTCCATGTCTGCTTGAGAGGATGAAACTTCTGTATGGATTGGACTAGGTTTAGGACTGTAAATGACCAGCCCTTTCTCTGAAGAATTAGAGGGGAAATGATCTTCATTTGTACTGGTAGCTTGGTTCCCATTTGGTTCATTCTGGCTGTGGCCTGTAACTTTAGCAGAACCATCATTAGTCATAACCTCCTCATTGTGATTTGTATTGGGGTTATTATTAGTGTTGGTGGGAGATGAAGATGGCTCCTTTGCTTGCCCAGATGAAGAAGTCCCCTGATTCCAGTTTTGGCTATGCAACCCTTCAGTGGCTCGCAACCATTCACCAAATTGACCCTCATGGAGCATCTTGTTCTTGATATCTTCCATTCTTAGCTTACAGGATTTCTCAATGTGTCCGATCATGCCACAGTAGAAGCAGAGATTAACTAGGCGTTCATATTTGAATGTAACGGTGACGATTTGGGAGCCCAACCTAATGGAGGTGCATCTGGGTAGTGGCTCGTTAAGATCGACAGTTACTAGCAATTTGATGAGTCGACCTCCTTGATAGGCTAGGTTGGTAACCACTACATTGGACACATCTTTGAAAATTTGGCCAATTTTGAGCCCTACCTCGGCCGTCATCCAGTTGAGGGGCACATTGTGGACTTGTACCCAGAGATTGAGCTCAGAGAAACATTTAGCAGAGCTATTCATCCCTGGTTCCCACCGCCTGAGTATAAGAAACTGGTTTTCAAAGATCCAGTTCGTGCCTCCTTCAACTTTCTGGAGATCTGCAACATTGGCGAAGATGAATTGAAAAAAATTCGCTCCCAGCTCTCTAACTTCCAAGGAACTTTTCAGACGCCAAATCTGAGTCATGGCTTTTTTGATACCCAGGCTAGCCCTTTTATCACCCACGATGCGGCCAAAAAGGCTATGGTGACATTCCTCCACATCCGATCTGACATCGGCATCCCCTAAAACGATGATTTTGTTCTCCACTTTGGAAAGAGAAAAAACCCTAAGTCGCTGTTCTACTTCGTCAGCAGTCGATTGAGAACTCTGGTCCGCCATAGGATCGATTAAAAGGCGAGAGAAGAAGGAAACCTCTCCGGTGAGAGGAAGGAAGCTTTCCGGCGAAAGAAGATGCTCTCCGACGAGAGAAGCGGCTCCCCTAGAGAGAGAATTTTTTTGTTTGTAACTGCAAGGAAAAAATTAATCTTATTTCATTTTTGTCCCTATAGATTACAAGTTGATCAAATGACTGTCTGGAGCTGGTAGCCGCGGTGGCTGGGCAGGTGCTAGCTGGCATAACCTGTGCGACAAATGAAAATCCGCTTATTCACCATAGCTGAGCTGAGCTGATTCAATTTTCATAGAAAACCATCTGAACTCAGACCCTCTCTCTCTCTCTCTCTCTCTCTCTCTCTCTCTCTCTCTCTCTCTCTCTGTGTGTGTGTGAATCTAAATCAATCTCTTTCGTCCCCCTCTCAACATTCTGGGATTTACGACCTCATAAGCCTAAGGCAGATTAAAACCCAAATCGAGATGCAGAAGATGAAGGATCCGCGGCCTAGGTCTTCTAAACCAACGACAATTCATGGCTATGCGCAGACAGGAGATATTAATGCGTTCCAGAAGTTACTTCGCAACAATCCATCTCTTCTCAATGAGCGGAACCCTATCGTATGATCCTCATTCCCCTTTCTCTTTGTTATTTTTGTAGATGGTTTTCACTGTGATGAATCATGTTTCCTCTGATTTGAAGGATGTTGAAAATATCTAAGAAATATTTATTTTTCTTTTTTATTTATATAAACATACATGTGTAGAAATGCTGCCTCATATTTTTGAAAAGTTGATTGGTTCAATGATGTTCATGCATATGGTTTACTGGATTCGGTATATTTATGTTAATTAGCGCAGTTAACAGTAATAATCGGGCGAACTTTTCTGTCAAAATGTTGGAAATCCACCTGAGTTTGTCCACTTTATGTTGTAGGTATATATGCAGCGTCTCGTATTTTAGGTGGGTGTATAATGTGGTGTTCTATGTTTGTAAATTGAAAGAAATGAGTTGATTATATATTTACTCGAAAGGCTTCTGTAATTTGGCTATGGAAAATGCACGTACTGCTATGTACTCCTGGAAACGATTGAAGGAACATAATTTATCATTTACTGTTACTCTGTTAGCTCCTAATATGATTTTAGTGATGTATTGGAGTTGGTTGGTTGATGATGCTGGTAGCCTGTCAAGAATAGAAAGAAGGCTAATATTTTCACAATGACAATAAAAATGACTAACTTGGATGCCTTGTCTACCCTTATATAGATTGTTTTGTTCCCGAATTTGTGAACTTGATTTTTGTATAACAGAAATGTGACTCCAGATTTTATCTTCATACTATCTACAGTGGCGGATTTAGTTTCTTAAGCTTCAAGGTACAGTGAAGTAAATATCTAACTTAAAATAGCAGTGTAACCTTAGCAAAATCAAATTACTAGTACATGGAAACCACATTGAATGGAAATGGTAAAATGAAATAGTTGATCAACTAGTGTGTCCTCTACACTAAAATTAACATGTAAACTTTTAATGTTTATTTTGAACTTGGTGGTAGTAATTTTCTAACTACAAAATTTGAAAGATATTTTCTTTTTTGGTAGTATTTGATCATGAGGTTTTTTCTGTTCGGGTTACAATATCTGCGACTGACTATCTACATGTACAGTAACCAAATACATTATTATCTCCTGCGTGGATGGAATGACATGTTTTATAGCATTGATCTTGAAGCACGACTATAAATTTATATATTAATAGAAAAAATAATTGGCCTGTAATAGTTCTGAAAATTTCTGTGGGAGTGCCCAAGCATGGTTTTCATGATTAAGGTTTTAGGTAGTGCTGTTGTGCAACATTTGCTGACATGCTAAGCTTTGAATTCTGGAATGCTCTACATAGGTGATGTTATCTATACATTTCATATTCGAGTAAAATATGTACAGCCTTGGAATGAGAAATTAAAGGTCACGGAAGTACTTTAGACTTTCGAGGGGTGTAATAATTAACTGCCTGTATGCAAGAGTCAATATACTAATACTATGCTATTTTTTACCATATGTTGTGTATACTACTTAGGGAGACTCAATAAGATGATTTTTAATTCGTCACCTATAATGCGTTTGTTGTGATGTTTGAATACTTTACCATGTTAGATTTATTCTTGGATAAGTTTTCTTTTTCATCACTGCACCGCTCTTCGCTATAAGATTCATTATATTTTCGTGTATCCTGCATATGTGTTTATTTCTTTCAGAAATGCAATATAAAAAAAAAATGAAGTGCGGTTTGAGATTTACTAATCAGAAAAATTTTTAAACATGTACAGATAAAAAAAAATGCCTCTTAAAATTACAAGAACTTCTAAGACCCTTCAATTTTCCTACTTTCTAGACGGCGGTTCCTGCTACTCCATAAAGAAATGCAATCATATCGTCATTGGTTGTTTGATTCATCTCCCTACTTTCTTTGATAAACAGATGGCACAGACACCCCTTCATGTTTCTGCTGGTTACAATAGAATTGAGATTGTGAATTTTCTTCTTGATTGGCAAGGGCCTGAAAAGGTTGAATTGGAGGCCAAGAACATGGTACATGGAAGCCATACTCTTTTTTAACTTCCAGTGTTTGATCTTTGACTTAAAGAATATGTTGTTACTAACTCTCATCATGCCCTTTCAATTCGTTAACTGGCAGTATGGGGAGACTCCTTTGCATATGGCAGCTAAGAATGGATGTAATGGATCTGCAAAAATCCTTCTTGCTCGCGGTGCTGCTGTCGAGGCTAAAGCAAATGTAACTTGTCTTGTTCAATCTTTTCCTGCGCAGATAACTGATGTTTTCTCATTTTATTATATTGTTGGAAATTGTCCTGCAGAATGGGATGACTCCTTTGCATCTTGCTGTTTGGCACTCGCTTAGAGCTGAAGACTTCTCAACTGTAAATACTCTGCTGGAGCATAATTCTGATTGCAGCGCTAAAGACAATGTATTGTCCCTTTTTAGATGATTTTGATCACTCACTGCTGTACTCGTATTTGTGCTTTGTAAACAATTTCTGTGACTTTGTAGGAGGGTATGACACCTTTAGATCATCTCTCACAAGGCCCAGGTAATGAAAGATTACGGGATCTTCTCCTCCGGTATCTTGAGGAGCAGCATAAGAGAAGAGCCATTGAAGCATGTAGCGAGACAAAAGCCGTAATGGATGCTCTTGAGAGTGAGTTGTTAAATATAGTGGGATTGAATGCACTTAAGCTGCAACTTCAGAAGTGGGCCAAGGGGATGCTCTTGGACGAGAGGCGCCGTGCCCTTGGGCTTAAAGTTGGTGCCAGAAGACCACCTCATATGGCGTTTCTTGGTAATCCTGGAACAGGTACTTAAACTCTCCTTCAGATGCAACACCTTGCAGCTGTATATATTCTTTTCTAGGCAAAATACTCATTTCCAGTTTATTTTCTCATCTTATAACCTTTTTGATAATATTATGCAGGTAAAACAATGGTAGCTCGAGTCCTCGGAAAACTACTCCACATGGTGGGCATACTTCCAACTGAAAAGGTAACAGAAGTCCAAAGAACAGATTTGGTTGGAGAATTTGTTGGCCATACAGGCCCAAAGACAAGAAGAAAGGTACCTTCTATTCAATTACTCTTTTACCCCATATCTCACTTTTTGTCAAAGCAGCTATTTTCAATTTTTTCTAAGCCTTAAAGTTATGTATCTGTAGATACAAGAAGCGGAGGGAGGCATCCTGTTTGTAGATGAAGCGTATCGCTTAATACCAATGCAGAAGTCGGACGATAAAGACTATGGATTAGAAGCATTGGAGGAGATCATGTCCTTCATGGACAGTGGAAAAGTGGTTGTAATATTTGCTGGGTATAGTGAACCAATGAAGCGTGTAATATCTTCGAACGAAGGCTTCTGCAGGCGGGTGACGAAGTTTTTCCATTTTGACGACTTCAGTTCAAAAGACCTTGCCCAAATGCTTCATCTTAAAATGTGTAATCAAGCTGAGCAAAGTCTACTGTATGGATTTAAGTTGCACCCCTCATGCACTGTGGAGGCGGTTGCCGCTCTCATAGAACAGGAAACAACTGAAAAACAACGTCAGGAGATGAATGGAGGTTTAATTGATCCAATGCTAGTAAATGCTAGAGAGAATTTGGATTTGAGGATAGATTTTGAATGTATAAACATGGATGCTTTACTAACGATCACCTTGGAGGATTTAGCAGCTGCTCTTCAGCTGTTGACACATTGAGTGGGGTTAATATTTCTAAGAATGAGAAAGAGGATAGTGTACTTGTCTAGTCCAATTCCCTTCCCATTTATGTGTTTCATGAGACATTCTAGGTTACATTCATTGATACAAATCAGTGGAGCTGACATTTTTTAAATTATCAGTGCAATGAAAAATTTTACATTCCTATAGTTCTCTTGCATATGCATTATCACAAATTCTTGTGTAATGTAGTCTAATCATTTGTTAATAAAATACAACTTGTTAATGGTTAGATTTGAGTAACACAGTTTTACCAACTTGTGCCTATAAACACTTGAAATGTCTATTTGTGTAGGGTTGTGTGATCTTCTAATGAACTTGCAATGTCTATTTGTATGGGGTCTTCAAACTTCAAATACAAATTAATGGGTAAAAACATTTGAGGAAATTGCACTCCTTACATTCCCCTTCAAATTTTATTACACCTTTCCACTCCAAATATATTTATTTTTATTTTTAGCTAAAGAAGATAAAAATTTTTCAAATATACCCAAAATCTTACTTAACAATTATTAACACGTTTTTAATGTTAAAGAGATAATTAAGGGATTTTAAATATCATTTTACGAAAAAAAGTGGAAGACAAAAAGGGGAAGAAACCGCCCACCTTCTCCCATTCTTCTGCAGAAACCGCCCCAAACTTTTTCCCACTTTTCAAGAATCAATGGCAAAAACCAAACTCCCTCATCCTAATCGAAGAAATCCGGCAGATGTTGGCGACGTTTCGCCCGTTATAAGATCTAGTGCCCGGCTCAGTCACCATCGTCGCCTCTATTCAAGAGATACCAGGCCCGTGACCGAATTTCGATCGCCCTCCGCCCGCAAACAGCCACCCCTGACGCGACCCTCCTCCGGCGATTCCTAGTTCGCGCAGCACCAACGAGTTTACTCTCCTGCTTGAGTGGATGACAAGAAGAATCCGTCTCGTGTTCCCTAGAATTTGCCCTTTTTTTTCTTTCCTTTTTTTTTTCTTGTATGATTTGATTATAATTCGAAGGTATATTTACAAAACCGAGTTGGGTATATGTTGGGTATATCTGAGTATATCCGAAGTAACTTTTCTTTGGTTATCTGTTTAATAATTCTTTTTTTTCTTGTGTTATTTGTTGGGTATACCCGAGTATATCTGTTTAATAATTCCTTTTCTATATACTTTTATGTATAAAAGTTAAAAAAAAAAGATATAATTTTTTTGTGGAAGACTTGTTTTTTATTGCACTTATACTGAATATGTACTAACATAAACTCAAAATATACCACCTGGCGACTGCGTGAATTATAATATTGCAAACATACACTGAATATTACTAACATAAACTCAAAATATACTACCTGGCGGCTGTTTGAACTACAATGTACTTACGTGAATTAAGGAAGTAATAAATGAATCAGTTATTATCATTATTATTTTTTTTCTAATTGCGGATTTCACGCACGTTACAAGATAACTGATTTAGATGCAATCTCTTAAATAAATAGTTGGTTTAGGTATTGTTGAAAATACTTTTACATTAAGGTAAAATTGAAAAAACTTTTATATCTTATAGGATAGACAAAAATTTCCCAAAATATTTCTCTTGTACTTAGTGTGTTTTGGAAACTTACTTTACTTGGAGCGAAAGGCAATCAATCTTTAGCTTTTGGCTAACTTTTATATGGGTAAAAATATTTCTCCGTCTACCCTATTTTTTACGGGTAAAAACGCTTTACAATCAATTATTTTACTTTTCATACATTTGTCATAAATTATTGTTATTTTTTATGTTGTTCGCACTTTAAACTTGTTGAGGGTCGACCGCCAGTTGTTACAGTGAATATTATTTAGGCGATTAAATTGGGGGTGACAATGTGAACTGCGATGTAACTAATGGCAGAAAGTTGGAGAGAATATAAACGAGATCACACAAAATAAGAAAGCAAATATGCGGTAAATAAACATGACAACACGATTGTCAATCTACTAAGGAGATGGCAAGAAGAAGGTTTTTCTCGAAAGCTTTACTGAAAAAATGTGTATTTCGGGGAAGTATGTAAAAAATGGCAACTACATATGATTGAATGCAGTGAATGTTTTCTGGTAGGTGGTGTTTTTAGCCACTCATTTTTTTTTTTTCGAAACGGTAGATGAATATCATTAAACAAAGAGTTTTACAAATTGAGAAGTCAACTAGCCCAAGTACAAACCAATAGAGAGGGTCACTCAGATAGTGCCCTAGATCAAACCAAAGAAAATAAAAATCATACCAACAATTAAGATTCACATACAAACAAACCAAAGCACAGAAAATCTCCTTCAAGAGCTTCCCCAGCAGGACCTTGAAGTAAGAGTATACCACCCCAGATAAAGCTCCCAACAGCAACAAAAGAACCACATGTAAAGTTACAAGAGAATGGTAGCACTGAACCAACATGACCTAGTACAGTTCACCTTGCACACTCCAAGAAGACTATCTTCTAACAGCATTGAATTCAACCCAATCCATCTATGCAGAGCTAATCACCACCTTTCTGGCATAAGAACATTTTGAAACTTCCATATATTTCTAGATTTCCACAATCACCATAGGACTTATGTAGTTAATTGTATCCTCTTCTCTAATACCATAGGATATATGTAGTTAATTGTATCATCTTCTCTAATGATTGTTTCATCACAGAACAAACATTGTGCCACCACAGTTAAAACCTCACCTTGGGAAAGTCAGTTCCCTCCCGAAATGGTCCTGTTCCGAAAAATAAGGTTCTGAAAGGTTCTCTTTATTTTTGCCCCGTTCCAGGTACCGAACCATTTTAAAAAATGTCGGTATCAGTATTGAATATTTTTGTCCTGAACTGTCCCGTTTGCCCCGTTTCATTTTTTTGTACAAAATATTATATATATATATATATATATATACTTTATACATTATTATTATATTTTATATTATTTTTGTAGTTCCAATTACATAATTGATAATATGTAATTTTGGTATTCAATCTATAATAACATTCTAACTTTGTAATATAATATATATCTCTATTCTTAAAAGTCTCAATGTTTCTGTAAAAAATTCTGTAGACTAAAATACCCTCTGTGAGAATTTTTTTTTCATTGTCTGTAATGGCAAAATAATACTTTTCAAGTTAGTCTGTTTGATGATATTTGGTTATCCATCTATTCATCGATTATTATCAATACATATTCACAAATCATTCATCCTTGCTCTGTAATTTTTTCTCTTCCTCGATTTCACGTACGTAAAAAATCAAAATCATCACGAGCGGCTCAAAATCACCACCACCGACAGGATTTCATCAGCCTAAGTTTGGGAGTATTTTCCCGTTCCGACATCAAACCCACATTATTTTTGGGAAACATTCGGGCGGCAGGATTTCCTTTCCGACAGCAAAACCACCAGGATTGGCGAAGGATATTAAGGCTGTAAGGGAGAAGGAGAATAACATATACTGCAGAGGCGACATTTTGTCCAACACCTGCAAGTTTCGACCGGGGACGACAGAGGAACAGACGAGTGTTTTCTTGTACTTCTGACTATAATTTATTTATTTTTTATGCTTTTAGTTGATTTTAAAATTTTTTACATGGAATCTTTTTTAAAATAAGATATTATAGCTTTCCTGTTGTTTACATGAAAAATTTCAAAAAAAAATTAATATTATAACTTTTCCTGCAATGCCCAGTTCGTTAAGAATTTTTCGGATATTATTTTAATAATGCATTATTATTATTATTATTATTATTATTATTATTCCTATTAATTGCCTAATTGTTATTAATTGCCTATTATTAATAAATGAATATTGTGTGATATATATATATATATATATATATATATATATATATATTATTCGATTATATTTATTATTGTTCGTCAATAAAATCATTCAATATCCTTATTATTCGTGCAGTTATTCTCAAGCGAGCTTCAAGTTGGTCTCGACCTCTTTTTTTTTTTCTTTTCGAATGTGTATTTTATTTTTCGGCCCAATTGGAATTTATTTCTAGCCCGTTTGTGGTATTAATTCCAGCCCAAGAGGGTTATAATGTGTATAGCCCATCTATTTTAATAACCTTTTTGGACCACTTTGTACTTAATGGCCCAAACAGAATAATATCCGCTACCCCTTTAATATCCCACGTGTTTGGACCTGTTCTTCATTTTCACCGTTTCAAAAGTCTGATCGCGAGGGAGGATTTTCTCACACGATCGTCTCACTCTCCTATACATAAAGACCGAATCTTATCTTCCTCATTCACTATCCATCATCCCCGTTGAAAAACAACAGCTCTGCTTTCGTTTTTTTTAAAAAGAATGGAAATCGCGTACCTTCTTCTTCGACGAGACCACCATCTGCCGAACGTCCGCCTGCCGTCAAACATCCTCCTTTGAGCATCCCTTGCCGTCGACGACCACCGGGCCCTCCCCAGCAAGCAGTCACAGCGGGCCTGTCGTAAGGAATCATGTTGAACGCTAGCAGCCCCGTCTGCCATTCTTCACTGCGTCTTCTTCGGCCAACCACCACTTTCCGCAGATAAGACGAACGAAGCAGCGAGCGCCCCCAGGAATTCGGATTGAGAAAATGGATGTGTAACAACAAATTTTATGAAAAACATAAAACTTTTGTACATCTTGATTTTATTTCGATCAAACGATTTGCGGGTACAATCTCTATTTATCTCCTCTGATTCTTCTCTTCATGAATTTGGGCTTGAGACCTTAAAAGATGGATTTGACTATTGAATCTCCTTCGGGGTTGGTCTTAAATTTCTCTAACATTAATTTGGGGGTCGAATGACTGATTCCCGTATTAAATGCTAGGCCTTGACTTGATTGAAGAAAACTTCTTGGAGAACTTGTTTCTTTGATCTTCTGGAAAGATGGACTTTGACTTGAATAACGTTGACTCGAGGGCTTGATAGCTTTTTTTTCTCGAATCAAACGCTATGCTGGTTGAACTTCTCAACGAACGAGGCTTGAATGTCGATTGAACGTCGTTGATATTCTTGGATTGGCTTGAGAGGAGTAGAAGTCGTCAGTTTACTTCTTGGGGAAGAGTCGCTGCCTCTTTTTCTTCTTCTTGGCCTTCTTCTTCATTATATGGACTTCGAGCGGTTCTTCAAGAACTTTTTCAAATCTTCAAGAGGGTTCTTAAGAGCCCTTGAATTGAGACTTTAATCATTCAGATGTGTTTGAGGTGTGATTTTGGACCTTGAGGAGAGCCCTATTTATAGGTGTAGGAGAGAGAGTCTTGGAGAAGAAGACTTCAATTTGATTGGCCCTTCATGATTTGATATAATCTCTTTCATTATCCTAAGATTTGATATAATCTCTTTCCTTATCTTAAGATTTGACTTCGTGGGCAAGAAATATTAACTTTATTAATTAAATATCTTATTTATCATAAATTTATGTCCCAAAATAAATAAAGACATTAATTATTAAAATATTAAAATTTCAATATCTACAAATGCCCCCTTGAGACTTGTTCACGGAAAAACGTCTTGGTAGTGAATGAGTCTCAAAATTTTGAATTTGATTTGGACATGTAGATAGTTTAAACTCTTATCCAGGAGTTCTTCGACTTGAGTTTGTAGATAGTTTAAACTAGTATCAAGGAGTCTTGGTTTGATTTGATAGATATTTTATACTCGTAGGAGTTCCTCATTTGACATGATATGTAGATAGTTTAAACTCGTATCAAGGAGTCTTGATTTGATTTATCAGACAGTTTATACTCGTATCAAGGAGCCTTCAAATTTGTAAACATTTTATGCTCGTGTCAATGAGCCTTAAAATTTGTAGACATTTTATGCTCATGTCAAGGAGCCTTCAAGTTTGATATGTAGACCTTTTATTCTCGTGT